TACTTCGAGGCCGTTGGCTGTATGACCCCGACACACGATGCAATGCGGATTCGGCTCGCAGCGACACTGTTACGAGGCCCAGCGCTCGAGTGGATTTACAACAGCAATAAGATCCGAGGCGAGGGGTCATGGACGCAGTTTCGGGAAGCTTTAATTCAACGTTTCGAACCAATCAACTCCAGCTACATGGCGCGGCAGTAGATTCATCGGCATAAACAGCTCGGCAGTGTAACACAGTACACGCAGCAGATGGTGAGCCTCTTCAACCAAATTACCGGCCTGCCCGAAGGGGAAAAAATCCAAGCGTATACGGAAGGGCTAAAGATGAAAGTCCGCCGACAGGTGATTGCCGCGAACTACAACAACTACCGCGACATGGTGCGTGCAGCAGAGAGATTCGATGCGCTAATGCGATGTGAACCCGAGACACGACGCCACGTGCCAAACCGATCATTTGGCACGAAGCGATCAGCACCACCCACGACCGCCGACCCAATGGATATCGACAAGATCGACGCGAAGCAGCGGCCGACAAAATATGAGAAGTGCGAATTTTGCGGCGCAGCAGGACATCGATTCTTGGCGTGTTGGAAAATGAAGAAGGCACGAGCGGAGCTGCAGGGCAACAACAATGCAACATCCACGATGGTGAAAAAAGGAGGACACGATGGCGCGAATTTAAAACGCCACGACCGGCCGGCAACAGGGGAAATCGCCGAGACAAATGGAGGCTCCGCGAAACAAGACTCTGCACCGACCAGGAAACTCCAGCCGAACATCCCCGAGAGTAAGAATATTTCCTCTCGAGGTTTTCAAGCCTGTAAAAAATTCAGGGGAGGTTTTGAGGCCAAGAAAAATCCTTCAGACATTATTCAGGTACCTGAGAAGTTGGGCAAACCACTCCGGAGCGTTGAAAAGGGTCGTGCGTTCCAAGGAGTTCATACTCTCTCCCCGCACCATAGTGTTAAGGCTCCCCATTGCCCACAGGAGAAGCCTACACAGCCGCAAAGGCTTAAGGGAAGGTTCCAGGCCAAGACAAAGCTGAATCAGCCTCGGATAAATCCTTCTAACCCTGCTCAGTTGGAAACTGATATGGAGTCAGCAGCTTCGAGCGCAGGACCGAGGGATGATCTATTCGACATACCCTACGATCCTATAAGCCAGACCATCTACGGTTACTCGGAGTAGCAAAAACCACTACTACTCGAGGTGATCTGCAATGGGCGACGCCTCCAGGCAATGGTGGACAGTGGTGCGTCCCACTCGGTGTGCGACCGGGGGACGTTGGAGAAAATTGGAGAATTTTCGGAGGAGACCAAGTTCTCGGCAACAATGGTGGACGGTACGAAACTTCCCATCCACGGCAAAGCATCACTGCAGCTGCACATAGGGGCGCTGAGGTGGAAGCCGACGTTGCCGACCACGAACATCAAGGGCTTAGATTTCATCTTGGGGCGAGATTTCTTGAAGCGGTTCAACCCCGAGATCGACTGGGTCAGCAGGAAGGTGTGCATCTACAACAACGGGAAACGAGTGGAGCTGCGAAGCTGGACAGATACAGGGAGCGTTCCTGAAACGACACTGGCACGGTTCGAACGGACAGTGAACGAAAGTAACACGGGTTACTTAGCACTGGTTATGGCAGCAGCAGAGGAGGAGAAGCCGAGTTCGGAGCTACCTGCAGCAGTGAAGGAGGTCTTGGAGCAGTACAAGGATATAATGCCCAACGACCTACCTGCAGGCGTACCTCCTGCACGCACCCACGAGCACGAGATCGTGGAGGAACCAGGTGCGAAACCCGTCTTACGTGCACCATACCGACTGAATCCGACCGAACTGACAGACATGAAGAAACAGATAGAATATCTACTGGACCGACAACTGATCCGCCCATCCACCTCTCCCTACGGTGCACAAGTCCTCTTCACTCCAAAACCAGACGGCAGTCTACGGATGTGCATCGACTACCGTGCACTGAACAAATAGACAGTTAAAAACAAATACCCCATACCGCGCATAGACGACCTACTGGACCAACTGCGTGGTGCAACAGTCTTTTCGAAGTTGGACCTACGGTCGGGTTACTGGCAGATCAAGATGGCGGACAACTCGATCCACAAGACGGCATTCCGTACCAGATACGGCTCCTACGAATACTTGGTGATGCCGTTCGGACTCTGCAACGCACCAGCAACGTTTCAGGCGGAGATGAATCACATCTTACGACCCCTACTGGACGAGTGCGTGGTGGTGTACCTGGACGACATTCTCATCTACTCCAAGAACATGAAGGAGCACGTGGAGCATCTGCGGAAGGTGTTCGAGATCCTGCGGAAAACCAAGTTCTACGTGAAGCTGTCGAAGAGCGACTTCGCCCTGAAGAAGGTGCACTTTCTCGGGCACATGGAGAGTGCCGAGGGCGTACACGTGGACCCGCGGAAGATCGAAGTCGTCAAGAAGTGGAAAGTTCCGGAGAACGTGAAGGAGTTGCAGCAGTTCCTAGGCTTCGCCAACTACTACAACAGGTTTGTGCCGCAATACGCTAAGATAGCAGCGCCACTGACCGACCTACTGAAAAAGGATACGCCCTACAAATGGGATACCCCTCATCAGCAAGCCATGGAGCAGCTACAGACAGCACTGACTACAGCGCCAGTACTCATCTAGCCGGATCCACACAAGGACTACGTGGTGGAAGCAGACGCTAGTGACCAAGCAGTCGGATCAGTACTGATGCAGGATCACGGACGCGGTTTGCAGCCCATCGCCTACCTCAGTAAGAAGCTACACGGAGCAGAACTGAACTACCCCATCCATGACAAGGAAGCCTTAGCGATAGTCATAGCCTTCAAGGCGTGGAGGTGTTACCTAGAGGGAGCCAAGACTACAGTCTATACTGACCACTGCAGTCTCAAATACCTGAAGTCGCATCCGACGCTCTCACGACGACAGGTGCGGTGGGTGGACTTCCTGGAAACTCACTTCCACTACGACATCGTCTACAAGCCCGGGCTACACAACAAGGCAGACGCGTTGAGCTGCCCCGGACATGTAGCAGGCATCCAGCTCGACGGGATGAACCCTCTGCTCAAGGGTCTATTCCAACATGGGTACTCCGTGGACGCAGAGATTGCTACAGCACAGACCAAGAAGTTGTTACAGTGGGAGAAAGACTTAGCTGTAAGGAAGGGTTCAGGAAAGATTTGGGTACCGAATCATGCCCCGCTACGGCAGATCCAATTGGAGGAGTTTCACGACGTACCTTACGCGGGACATTTCGGGAGCAACAAGACGTTAGCAGGGATAGCGAAGTATTACTACTGGCCCGGGATGGCAGCAGACGTGCATCAGTTTGTCACCTCTTGCGACACGTGCCAGCGGATGAAGAGTAGCAAGCAGAAAAAAGCAGGGTTACTTCAGCCTCTACCCGTACCGGAGCAGCCATGGCAGGTCGTTAGCCTCGACTTTATCACAGGACTTCCTTCGACCTCACGGGGGCACGATTCCATCCTCGTAGTTATCGATAAGTTCTCCAAAATGGGTCACTTCATACCGACCAACGCCACAGCTACAGCTGAAGCAACTGCTCGCCTCTTCTTCGACCGCATCATCACCATCCACGGCATCCCCGCTACACTCATCTCAGACAGAGACCCAAAATTCACCAGTAAGTTCTGGAAGGAGCTCATGGGACTGTTGGGGACAAAGCTTGCAATGTCTTCAGCATACCACCCCCAGACTGACGGACAAACAGAGCGACTCAATCAAGTGGTTGAACAGTTACTGCGCACAGCTTGCAAGGACGACGTCAGCCACTGGGACACACAGTTACCGACCCTAGAGTTCGCTTAAAACAACGCATCACATGCGGCCATAGGGAAAACTCCTTTCTTCCTGTGTTACGGGCGGGAACCACTCACACCACAGCAGCCAACCACACCGGCACACGTCAAAGCCGCACATGACTTCGTCACCACCATGCAGCAGCTATGGGAGAAGACTCAGCGACGACTCACCACGATGTAGAACTCCCAGAAGCAGTATGCCGATCGTCAGCGACGAGATCACTCAGTAGCAGTCGGAGATCAGGTGCTTCTTGACACGCGCAACTTGAACCTGTCTCACCTCCCATCCAAACTCCGGCCTCGCTTCTGTGGTCCTTTTCTCGTTGAGGCACAGGTGACACCAGTTACATTCCGCTTGCGCTTACAAGACACATGGAAGCTTCACACTGCTTTTCATGTTCAGCTACTGAAGCCCTACAAGGACCCCAACCAACAGTTCCAGGGACGGAAGCTACCGCCACAACCACCGGTTCTCGTACAGGATGAACAAGAGTACGAAGTGGAGCGCGTTCTCACTCATCGGCGCCGCGGCGGCAAGACCCTCGAGTTCCTGATACGCTGGAAGGGATACGACCCCACTGAGGACAGTTGGGTTGTAGAAGCTGATATGGGCAACGCACGCCGTGCTCTCAAGGACTATCTTGTCAAACAGGGTGTATCTCACGCCACCCAGCTTTGAGGGGGGGACGTGTGAGAGTACGACGGCTTATGCCAGCTATGCTTGCTTGCCCTTACTTTGTTATGCTATTTCTAGCATAGGATAATTATATGCATGCATGAATTGCTTGATTTCCTAGGCTAGGTGCTTTCCTATATTTTATTATAGTTATAGCACCGAGCTAGGTTGCGTGCACCGAATTCTGGTTTTTCGGTTGCCACCGAATTGCCTTCTACCGAATTCGGAAAGGATCTGTTCGGGACGCTTCGCGACCCGCGGAACCTTCGCGTAACACCTGGTTACGGGGCCTTGTGTCGAGCCTATATATAGCCTCGTGTTGTACCCAGGTGATCATTCAATTCAAATTCAATTCAATTCAATTCACATTCTCTTTTCTGAGCTCGATCCTAGATCCTCACACCCCACCCCGCTGACGCGAAGCGTACCACTCACAAAGCTGCTGGGGGGGGCGGGGTCTCACGAGTGCGCTGCTGCTGCTAGCGCTGACCACCACCGAAGCCGCCCCGCTGCGCAGAGCCACCCCGACTAGCTCCACCTCCTCCGCCGCCACCTCCGCCACCGCCGCCACCGCCTCCACCTCCGCTCCCACCGCCACCGCCGCCGCCAACTCCGCCGCCACCGCCGCCACCGAAGCCCCCACCCCCGCCACCACTCCCACCACCACCCCCACTCCCTCCGCCTCCTCCACCGCCACCTCCACCGCCCCCGCCAGCCCCTCCAACGCCCTTGCCCTCCTTGCCCTTGCCGGTGCGGCGTCGCCCGCTAGGGGCAGACGCAGCGCCGACCGACTCGGTGCCAACGAAGTCGACGGCAGCAGTAGAGGCAACAGAGGGCAAAAGGGGGGAGGGGGAGCACCCCTCAAAGACAGGGGCACGAGGGTCACCTCGAGATGCTCCTACAGCGACTATACTCTTCTCAGCTGCCAGGAGGCGCTCCTCGAGGAGGTCAACGGTGAGTGTGGTGGGGCAAACAGAGAGGAAGTGGTCCCTGACCGAGCGAAGGGAGTCAGGGAGCCGGGTGACTATGTAGTAGAGGGTGATGTACATGGGGCGGGGGGGGGGGGGTTCTTGGCACAGAACTCAGCAGGAAGCGCAGCGCGGTAGCGGGTGTCACTAGTGCGAAGGTGCGTAACGAGGTCAGCCACTGCGGGAAAGGCGGCAAGGTCAGGAAACAGGTACGGCAGCATGAGGCGGCTAAGGGCAGCAGTGGCAGGGGAAGAGTAGCGTGCAACTACAGCGTCGTACAAGGTCTTAGCACTCTTGTACTGACTAAAGTGCGCACGCTCAGCGGTCGGTAAGTGGCGACGCACAGCAAGACGGGCAGCAGCATCGCGTGTGGCCCACTGTGAGCGAACAGTGCTGTCAGCATCAGCAGGCGGGGCAGGATAGGCACCAGAGGTGAGATCGAACAGGGAGAGTCCGTATGCCCTATCGCACTGTAGGAAGAGCTGTAGTTCATCGACCCAGACCTCGAAGTCAACAGCACGACCCTCAGCATCAAAGGTAAGGACACTGGGGGTAGCCATGACAGCAGTGGTCTAGCAAGGAGTGCTCTCACCAGTCCGGGTGGGTAGGGCCAGGGCTCGTCGGTAGGAACAAGGCTGCAAAAGCGGTGGCAGCGACTTGGCAGTGGCAGTAGCGGCTCGACGGCAGCTCGGCGGCAGCAGCTCGGTAGTGGCGGCTCGACAGCGGCCTCGGCGGCTCGGCGGCTCGGCTGCTTGGCGGCTCGGTGGCTTGGCGGTTCGGCGGCTCGGCGGCTCGGTGGCTCGGCGGTTCGACGGCTCGGCGGCTTGGCGATTCGGCGGTGAAGGGGCCGGGGAGGGGCCGGGGAGGGGCCGAAAGGGGCGGCAACGGGGCAGCAAGGGGCGGCGACGGGGCCGCTAAGGGCGGCGACGAGGCCGCAGGAGGGCGGCGACGCGGCCGCGAGAGGGCGGCACTGGGGCCGCTAGAGGGCGACGAGAGGCCGCGAGGAGCGGCTGTAGGGCCGCGACAGGCGGCGACGCGGCCGCTAAGGGCGGCGGCGGGGCCGTGAACGGCGGCGACGGGGCCGCGAGAGGGCGGCGACGGGCCGGTGGAGGTGGGGCCACAAGTGGCCGCTGAGGGCGGCGCGACGGGCCGCTCAGGGCGGTGCGACGGGCCGCTAGGGGGCGGCGAGGGGGTCGCGAGGGGCCGTGAGAGGGGGGGGGGCACTAAGGGCGGCGCGACGGGTTGCTAAGGGGAGGGCGGCACACAGGGCGCACCTCGGTCAGGGGCGACTGGATCTCAGGGCAGGAAAAGGAAAGAAAACTCGATTTTCAGTGGTGGGCCCTAGGAAAAGTTCCCACTAGGGAACCTGCTCTATACCATGTGAAGAAATGAGGAATGAATGAACTAGCAAGCAGGTGGGTACAAGTAGGAAAACCTAAAAGTGTTGTACCCCATATTCTCTACCCCACTACAGCCTATACAGACGATAGCATATGAGTTTGACACGTTCCTCAACAAAAGCAACACAGCGGCTGAATCGGCCTTCCCCCAAGCACCTATGGGAACCGAGCCTAGGGGACCTCTGGCAGGTGCTTGATGATGACCTTGCAGGGGTGTAAACACAAGGGAGGGTGTAGCATAGGCGGCAGGGGCGGAGTAGGGCTGGCCGTAGCAAGGGTGTGCGGAGAACATTAGGTGACCTTGCAGTGGGACGAGTTGGTTATGCTGGTTTTGTTTGTTTGTTTGTTGGGCTGTCTTGTGCAAGACGTCGTTTGCTTGCTGGTTTGCTTACCTAACCCCCATTAGTCGGCTTGCCTAGGCTAGCCTACCAGTCAACACCGACACTTGCATGCCAGTACCCCTTCAACAATATCAATGCATGACTGTTTGAGAGAGAGAGAGAGAGAGAGAGAGAGAGAGAGAGAGAGAGAGAGAGAGAGAGAGAGAGAGAGAGAGAGAGAGAGAGAGAGAGAGAGAGGACCCTAGCCTTTGCCCTCTCCCTTCCCAAGTATAAGAGGCCTCTCTTGGCCTCTTGTTTCTCATTATTCTGTGTGGTGGCAGAATTTAATGCTCGCGTCGACCGCCTTTGGCGGCCGACGCTCGACAGCGCGGCCTTCGGCCGCACGTTTGGGGCGACAAGGGAGAAACGAGACAAGAAACTATTATCAACGACATACACGCAATGGCTCCATCTACAGCCGCATAAGACAACAAACGGCAGCATCAACATGGGGCACGAAGAGGCGGATGCTACATCCGATCCGCCTGCAGGGCATGCAAAATGCCCGTCATCGTCTGCCACACCGAGCGGACCACCAGAATGGCGGCGCCAATCGCGTCGGCTCCGGAACCTGCCCGCAGGTACCTTCGTAAGTCCCGCACAGCCGCGTCTAGTTGCCCCACAGCCCCAACGCCTCCCTGCACGGGCGCGGCCAACACAGGCGCTAGGAGGAGGGCAATCTGGTCGGCCGCGTCAAGACAGTCGTCCCGCGGGCCGTCAAGCAGAGATTCCGCCGCAACAGGCGGAAGAGACCCGTGCGCCAGAGACTGCACAAGCAGGAGGGCACGGAGGCTCTCCGAGAGCCTCCATAACTGGCCGAGCGTTGCCTCCAGAACCTCGGCGCGCGAGGGAAGGAGCTCCTCCGCCAGAGAAGGGAGCTGTAGTCGAGGAAGTCCAGCCCCACCACCAGAGCAGAAGCCGAGGGAGTCGGCAGTGACACCGCGGGCGTCGGAGCAACCACAGGGCGAGCGACCGGAAGGGGAGCGGACAGCGTTGGAGCCGCACGTCGCGAGCTGTTCTGACTCGCCGGGCCGGCCTGACCGTCGCGAAACGCCTCAGTCACAATCTGCCGCACGCCCGCGATTGTTGCTGGCGCGTCCAGCCACCTGCCACGCCCGCGACCGCGACCCCCCCTCCAACCACCCTGGTGCGCATGCCAGTTTGCCTGCGGCTGCCGTCGGCGAGGGGAATCACGCCGTCGACGAGACACATCCCGCTCATCTTGGGGGGAGGGCGAATGAGGACGGGAGTTACGCTGCTGGACTGCCGGAGGAAGGGCATGGGCAGACGCGGAAGCCGCGGGGAGTGGAGGGGCAGACCCCTCGACTGGTGCATCAAGGGATGCAGCAGGAGACACCACGGGCAGTGCCACAGGCGCAGGAGGAGGCGCCACGCCAGACGCAGGTGCCACCCCAGCAACAGCTGCCGTCTCAGCAGGCGACGGCAACACCGGAACGCGAGGCGCGGGAGAGGGCGCCGCGCCAGGAGTAGGGAGAGGCGCCTCGTCAGCCACAGGCGCTAGAACGAAGGTAGGCACAGGCACCGGCGCCACCACGCGCGGCTGGACGGCCACACCCGCCGACTCTCGTCCAGAGTTGACTACCGTGGAGCACGCGTGAGCAGGAGAACCCGCGACAGACATTGCCGCAACAGGGGCAACTGGCGCCGAGTGTACCGGCGAGGCAAGCGCAGCTAACGCCACGCCAAACGGCCGCGGCGAATACGGCACCGGGGAACCGCCACCAACCGCCACAGGCATTACGTGGAGACAGAGGCGGGCGGTAGAGAGCTGCGGGGCGTGGCCGAGGACAGGAGAACGGCTTCCAACGGGTGGCGAGGCTAGCTCTAACAGATGCGGAAGCCGACAACGCGGCGGAGGATGAAGCAGATGAGGCGCAAGACCCCACCTTTATTGCCCAGCCAGCCGCAAAATCAACCACGGAAGGAAGCGGTGGGGATGAAGGTGAAGCTGCTCCAGCAGTGGAGAGTCGAGTGAATGTTGCAACACCCGCCCGAGCCGCATCTGCACAAATTGGAATTGGAGGGGAACCAAACTCAGACGCACCCCACACCACCACTCCACCAACACGCCAATTCTCACCAGAACAGCTGGCGAAAGACACGACCCGCTTCAACGAGATTCGCACCTGGGACCTGACACCACTACGCGACAGTCGTCAGCCCCCCCTCTCCCGCAAAATTCCGCACGAAATCCGCACCAGCTTCGCAAACGCGCTGCTGACACCCCTGCTGCACCTCGCACGCCACCCTGACTCAGTACCGGGTTGGCGCCTATTACTCTCTATTCCCTTCCTAATCCTTCGCCAGGCGAAACCAGGGAAGCCTGATTGGCCCACAGTGCAGTTGCGACTTCGTCAGTTTTTCAAGGGCAAATGGGAACAGCTGTACGAGGCAGCCGTGGCAGCGGTCAACTCCCCCCCAGCGCCACGTCACCAGCCGGACGAGTTGGGAAAACGTGCTAGAGTAGAAGGACTGGTTCGGAAGGGCAGCCTTCGACGGGCCATCCTAGCCCTCGAATCTACACACGTGGCGGATCCAACGCCGGAGATACTTGATTCACTTAAATCCAAGCACCCGCCCACGCCATCTGGACACATTGAATGGACACCAACGGACGAGGCCCACGTGGTGACCATCACCTCAGCTGCATTCGCGAAAATTCTATGCCGCTGCGAAAACGGAGTAGGGGGGGGGGGCGTCGGGGATGATGTTCGAACTCCTCAGGGATGCAGCTATCGCCAACGCAGCCGTTACCACCCACCTCCACGCCCTCGTCAGCACAATACTCCAAGGGAAACTCCCCGAAGAGGTGTGCTCCTTGCTCACGGCCTCCCGCCTCATCGCTCTCGCCAAGCCAGAGGGAGGGACTCGGCCCATAGCCGTAGGAGAGTGTGTCCTATGTCTCGCGGCAAAATCGGTACTTTCCTCACTAGCAGAAGCGGCACGAGCCCATTTCCTCCCACTCCAGTACTGCGTCGCCATCCAGGGAGGTAGAGAGGCGATAATCCACGCCGCCAGATCATACATGAGCACGCACAGTGACGCCATGATTCTCCAGGCGGATCTCTCAAACGCATTTAATAGCAATCGTAGCGGGCCTACGCGGAAGTACGCTAGAAGGGATCCTCCCCCTAGTTCACTCCTCTTACGGCGCGCCGTCACAGCTATTTCTCGACGCCGGCTTTAATAGCCCTCCCATATCCAGCATTACAGGGGTCCGCCAGGGCGACCCCCTCGGGCCCTTGCTCTTCGCCGCGGGCATCCAACCGTCCCTCGTCGCGACCGCAGCCGCCTTCCCGACCGTGCTTTGCCTCGCATTCGCTGACGATGTCACATTCCTAGGCAAAGTGGCAGAGTGTACAGCGGCGTTCACCCACTTCACGAGCAGCCTCCGTAGCATGGGGCTCAGGCACAACGCGGGGAAATGTGCGGCGTGGAGCGTTGTTCGACCACTAGAGGGGGCCTTGCCGAAAGGGGTCCCATTCTGCCATGACGGACTGCGTGTTCTGGGCAGTTTCATTGGCGCGCCAGACGGAGCAGCAGAATTTATTCGGGCTCAGCTGCAAGCCATGACAACCCCACTCCCGCAGATAGCCGACCTGGAACCACAGGCAGCATCACCGCAACTGGCGAGGTGCATCTCAAAGTGGATGTCATACCTCGTGTGCACAACCCCACTCACCCTTCTGCCTGAAGAGGAATGGTCACGGTGGGGCCAGAAGCTGCTCCACACACTGCTCGACGCCTGCGGCGTGCGCCACCCAAGGGGGAATGCGGAGGAACAACGCGTGTGGGACCAGGCTTCCCTCCCCCCAAGCCTGGGAGGCCTGGGGCTGGCGGACCCATCGGTGGAAGGGCGCTACAGCTACCTGGCCAGCGTTTTCCAGGCGCACGGACTACTAGCCTCCCTGCCCGGCCCCGCAGGAGCTCACCTCTCCACCGCCCTAACCTGGACAGAGGATGTGGACCCAGACCCGAACCAACTGCAAACCTGGCTTGGGGAGTGCAAGGCAAGCCTCACACAGGAGGGACGTGACCTGCTGGCGGCAGAAATGGCTGCACCCAAGGGACAGCTGCAGCACCGCCTTGCCCTCTTAGACCAGGGCGGACGAAGTGCCGCTCAAGTCACAGCGTCACGGCATATGGAGCTGAACCCCCTATGCGGCCACACCCAGCGGCTATTGTCCCTCAGAGGCTACGGTGCGGGGGACTGGCTGATAGCCATCCCCTACATGCCCTCCCTCCGCCTAGATCCTGACCACTTCTCATTCGCCCTCCAGTTCCGCCTAGGACTGCCTCTCCCCGTCCCTAAAAACTGCGACTGCACAAAGAGAGTCGCCATAGCAGACAAACGCCTCCCCAACCACCTCGCTGCGGCACAGGGCACGGACGGACCAACACACACAACGAGCTGAGGGATGAGTGTGTGTGTATGGCTCAGGACGCAGGGCTCATAGTGCACAAGGAGAGCACAGCGTTTAGCCCGGTCGACAACAAGAAGGCCGACATGGCCATTCGGGACAGAAGCAGTGGGGCGGTGTGGCTGGGTGACATAACCATCACCGACCCTATCAGCAAACGGGACGAAACAGCCAGGAAGGGACGGGGATGGGCAGCAAGGGAGGCAGCAGATAAGAAAATTGGGCTATACCACGGCAGGGCTGAATTTGCAGGCTTTTACCCGCTGGCAGTCGAGACCTATGGCTGCCCGTGCGATGAGGTGCAGGCTTTCCTGAAGCACCTGGCAGACAGAGCAGCACGCTTATACTTCAATGCGGACCCCTCAAGCCTCTGGCGGCCAAACTACGGTCTCCGCCAGGCGCCTCGCGAGTGGCACAACACACTGAGGACGACACTTGCCGCTCTTGGGTTTGCTCCTTTGGCTGCTTACCCGTCGTTGTTTCTGCGCACCGACACTTCGCTGCTGCCGTTCTACATCCTCGTGTACATCGATGACTTGATTTTCGCCACTGCTGACACTAAGGCACTGACTCTAGTGAAGTCGGAGCTGCAGAAGAGACACACGTGCATAGACCTGGGTGAGCTGCGCAGCTATCTTGGCTTGCAGATCATACGGGACAGAGCACTGCGCACCATCACCTTGACGCAGTCACACATGGTGCACCAGGTCCTTCAGCGCTTCCGCTTCCAGTAATCCTCTGCTTACCGGTCACTCGCTCTCAATTCCACCTAAGGACGAGTCCGTAGAGCCAAGTGGCCCAAATTTAGAGCTTGTGGGCTGTCTCATGTACCTGATGACCTGCACTCTACCTGACCTTGCATACCCTCTTAGCATCCTGGCACGTTACGTTGCGCCCGGGAGACACCGAGCAGAGCACTAGGAGGTTGCTAAGAGGGTGTTGCGCTACTTGTGCAGTACGTTGGGCATGGGGCTCGTGCTTGGAGGATGGAGTCGAGTTGTTCTCACTGGCCACGCAGACGAGTCTTGGGTTGATGACTTGGCTACACTGCGGTCGTCACAGGGTTACACTTTCAGCCTTGGCTCCGGTTATGTTTCTTGGCGGTCTACCCGCTCATCTTCTGTTCTCAGTTCAAGTTGTGAGGCTGAGATCTACGTAGGGGCCATGGCTGCACACGAGTTACGCAGACTCATCTACCTTCTGACTGACTTGGGAGAGCAGCCTAGTTCTCCTCCAGTTCTGTACGTAGACAACAAGGCCATGATTGCCTTGTGTTAGGAGCACAGACTGGAGCACAGGACAAAGCACATCGCTCTGCGTTACTTCCTTGCTCGACAGTTGCAGCAGCGTGGTCAACTTCGTCTTGCTTACGTGGCCACTCGGGCCAACACTGCTGATATATTCACCAAGGCACTTCAGCCTTGTGATCATCAGCGTTTTTGTATTGTTTTAGGCCTTGTGCCTACTTTGCCTCACTTGCTCACTTCGTGACTTTGCTTGTACTTTGATTTATATACTTATACCTGCATGCTTACACTTGCTAGGTTGTGATCACTATACTGCTTGTTCCTATTTATATAATTCTGCATATAAACTGGCCTTGTGGTCATTTGCTTGTGCTCAGAGTGTGTGGTGACTTCGTGATCCACCCTGAGCTTGCTTTGCTTTTCTTGACTGGTCTTGTGACCCCTTGTTCTCCCCAGTTTGCTTATAGGGGTGCTACTATGTTGTGTGTGTTGTGTAGGCTGTAGTGGGGTAGCCTATATGGGGTACAAGCCAATTAGGGTTATACTTGTACCATGGTCTGTTCAATGCATTCATTCGCGCTTAGTCTTCTGACAGGTAGTTGTTCAGACTCTCCCGGTCCCCCTTCTGATGTAATCTTCTGATAGGTAGTTGTTCAGACTCTCCCGGTCCCCCTTCTTATGTAACAGGATTGTAACGGCTTCCTTTGTTTCCAAAGGGAGTGAGGCGGTCGAGGCGAATTCGTTTGCCAGTGCCATGAACCTACTTCCTAAGGAGTCCCTGTGATCCTCGATCAGCTCATTGGGCAGCTCATCACTGCCTGGGGATTTCCGCTTCGCCATTGCCTTGAAAGTTGCTTTCACCTCATCTTCCATCCAGTCCACCTCCAGCCCTTCAGCTGCTTTCTGGGAGAGCTTCCTTCTTGGCGCTGGGACCCACATCTTGGAGATGCGGTGCTGGTCTTCCCCGAAGATCCCCGAGAAAAAAAAATGAGGCAGCTTCTTAGATACCCTTGGTGTCTGTGATGACCTTCCCGTCCACGTGTAGTTCCGCTATCTGTGTTTTCGCCTTC